ATGCTGGAGGGGCCAAAGCAGCGTGCTGTGCCCTTCAGGGAGGGAAGCCGGCCACGCGTGTTCGGCCGCGTGCTGCCTTTTTGCTGCTCCCTGCAATGGTCTTGGTGAGAACTGCAGACCAGGGTGCTCTGCCACGCTGCTCATTTGGCTCTGGAGACCCTAAATTCAAGCCCAGTGTGAAGCAAACCCTCCCAGTGCCCCTGCTCATCTCTTTTGCCTTGGCTGGTGCTTCAATCATAGTTGTCTTCCTCTTTCCTTCCCCAAGTTTTTAGACAAGCCAGAAGATGTTTTGCTGAAGCATCAGGCCAGCATCAATGAGCTGAAACGGACCCTAAAGGAGCCCAACAGCAAACTGGTTCACAGGGACCGCGACAGGAGGCTGCCTTCCTCACCAGCCTCTTCCTCACCCAAGCACGAGGATGAAACACCAAAGGGAACCCCAGAAAAGGCCAGCGAGGTTTGTTCCACTGCTTCGTTTATGGAGGGGATCAGGTTGTTGGCGGGGAGGTGTTCCTCAGCTGCTGGGCTCTGGCTCCCCGTGTCCTGTGCTACCCAGGGGAGCACGGTGGCAGGGACGTGGTGGGGACACGGGGTGGAGGGAGGGGGCCTTCGGCCAGGCCGTCGTCTCTAAGCTTTGCCACGAGCTAACCGTTTTCACACTGTTGGTGGTGATCTCCCCTTGTGCCCAGGCGCCGCGTGGGGTTGGAGTCCTCATCCTTCTCTGGAGGGCTGTGGTTTGGGGTGCCTGAGCGCTGGGCTGTGGCTTTGTTGGCCCGTGAGATGAGGCTGTCCTCATCCCTCCTTCCAGCAGGGCTGCAGCGTGGCAGTGCCCGGAGCAGCTCCTGCCCGACCGGTGTCCTCAGCAGGACAGGACCGGGTGCCTGCGCAGAGGTGCCCCGTGGTGCTCTCACCAGCCGGAACCTGGGTGGTGGGAGCAGAAGGAAGGGTGAATCACACAATCATTAAGGTTGGAAAAGGCCTCTGAGGTCACCAAGTCCAACCGTCACCCCAACACCCCCGTGCCTGCTAAACCATGTCCCCAAGTGCCCCATCCCCACGGTGTCTGAACCCCTCCAGGGGTGGGGACTCCCCCACTGGCCTGGGCAGCCTGGGCCAAGGCCTGACCACTCTTCCAGTAAAGACATTTTTCCTGATGTCCAATCTAAACCTCCCCTGACACAACTTGAGGCCATTGCCTCTCGTCCTGGTCGCTGGTTACTTGGGAGAAGCGACTA